GGAGAGGAGGGAGGGAGGCGGGCACCGGTCCCTGTGCCTGGGGTAACACTGCTTTGAGCTCATTTGTGTGTCCTTTTATCTACTGACCTGACAGTTTTGTAGGAACGCCCGCTCTCTGACCCCATGTCTGTTGCACATGAACTTGGATTTCTAAGCGTCCTATGCAAAAGAATTTACTATGTAAACAGTGATTTTCCCCACTGAGAATAAAAATCGACCCAAAGCACATATTAAAAATTTTGACTTTCAAAATAAGTAAGACTATATCAAACTCAAAAGCTTCTGTGAAGCAAAGGAAACCATCATCAGCAACTTACTGGACGGGAGACAATATTTGCAAATGGTACATCCGATCAGGGGTTAATGTCCAAAATATATAAAAAACTCATACAACTCAACAACAGAAAAACGAACAACCTGATTAAAAATGAGCAGAGCATTCCAAAGCCCTACAGATGGCCACAGCAATGAACAGATGCTCAAAATTACTAATTATCAGGGGACGCGAGTTACAACCACAATGAGATGTCACCTCACGCCTGTTAAAATGACTATCATCAAAAAGACAAGGAAGAACAGGTGTTGGAGAGGATGTGGAGAAAAGGGAGCCTTTTCTTGGGAATGCAAGTCGGTGCGGCTACCAGGGAAAACGGTGCGGAGGCTCCTTACGAAGTTAAGAACAGAACTACCGTACGATCCAGCAGCTCACTGCTGAGCATCTGTCCAAAACAGACAAAAACACTCATTTGAAATGCTACATGGACGCCTGTGTTCATTGCAGCACTGTTCACAGAGCAAAGACATGGAAGCAACCGAGGTGTCCACCGATGGGTGAATGGGTAACGAGGTGGTACAGAGACACAGTGGATTCTACTCAATCACAGAAAAGGAATGAAATCTTGCCAGTGGCGATAACATGGATGGACCTCGAGCGTATAATGTTAATGAAATAAAACAGAAGGAGAAAGACAAAATTGTGTGATTTCACTCACATGCAGAATCTAAAACAAAACAAACCAAACCAGGTTCCTAGACACAGAGAACAGATGGGCAGTTACCAGAGGGGAAGGGCTTGGGGGTGGGAGAAAGGGGTGAAGGGTCGATTGTAGGGTGATGGATCGTAATTAGGCTTTTGGGGTGATCACTTTGTACTGAATACAGTTGTCAAATTATAATGTTGTATACATAAAACTTTAATAATAACAATAAACAAAAAGCCCAAACTAACAGACAGTAGCAGAAAGCAAGTCAGTAAGTGCCCGGACCAGGGTAGAAGCAGACACGAGCTATGAGCAGCATGAACTCTTGGGGGTGGAACCGTGTCCTGTTTGCAGTGGGGAACTCACAGTATACACTTCAAATCTAAGACACTGAATTCCCTCTAAGGTTGCTGAGAAGACGTTAAGTGAAAAGCTGGCTTCCTGCTCGCACACCCTGTGACGGACCCGGTGCCTCCCCGCCGTGGGCTGCATGGAGGCAGGTGATGTGGAGAGAGCGGGCTAGGCAGGGTCTCATCAGACTCCTGAAACGGCACTCGGAAGCGACACTGAAAACAGTACAACGGAACGAGAGGAGGAATGAATCCTCGGCCAGCTGAAAGCTCAGATGTTCTGCATTTCGTCCGCTCTCACCAGATAAGTCTCCAATGAGTCTTCCAGCCGCACCGGCCGGCTCTGGCTCCAGCAGTGAGAGCATATGCTCATTAAGAAGTTGCTATTTCCGGGGGGAAAAACTGAGGCGGCTGCTGCATTCCATCACAGCATTCCTGGCGCATTCTGAGGGTGACCTCAGTGCGCCCACTAGAAACCCCAGGGAGTTACAATCTCACCAAGAATGCGGCACCCTGACACCTTCTGCCGAGTGACCACGGGGAAAGCGAGTTTTGACTTGGTTGTGCAAACCAAAGCAGAGCGAAGAATGAAGAAATTCGCAAAAGATCCCGTGGGCAGGAAGGTGACAGGCCTGGTGGAGATGCTTTCGGCCGAGGTAATGGGATGGCTCTACTGTTCCACAGCGTGTGCGGCCTCCCTCTCCTGTGGCTCTACTGTTCCCACCACCTCAGCTGCTACATGAACGCAGGGCTCTCTCCTCAGCTGCACCATTTCCTGAGGAAAGTGGCTCTGCCCTCACCTTTCTACATGAACTGGGTTAATATGAAATTCAGTCCTGGGAGAACTAAACAGTCGGACATCGGCAGCGTGCCCAGCACAGTGCCCGAAACACCAACCACGGCTGACGTTAGTTGCATTTTTAGTCCCATTTCGCTGATAGAGACACTGAGGTTCAGAGGGTGCACTGGGCTTTGCAACTGCAGATTCCACGCTTGTACTATAGGCCACGCCCACCGAGCATCAGCGCCCTTGGGACTGCAGCTCACTTCCCCACCCCCCTCCCTCAGGCCTCTGGCTGGGGTGGGAGGGAGGTGCTCTGTACCATCTCCACTTTGCACCCGGCACCCCCTTTCAGGCAGCCCTCCGCAACCACAACACCTTCCTAACCAGCCGCGCTCTGGCAATTTCCTTTGGC